GGCGCGCCGGCGCGGGGAGCGCTGCAGGGGGCCAGGGCCAGGTCACCCCGCTGTCAGCTGTCCCTGCCACGAAGAGTTGTTCTGTCTAGTTATAGCGGTACCTTGTCCAGGGCCTACCCTGTTGTAATGCTTTTCTCAGATTTGCTGCGCGATTACTCGTCTCAAGCCCAGAGGGCTGCTTCTAGGACATTTTGAAACCACTGAGCTGGGGGTGTAGCTCAGTGGTAGAACGCTTGCTTAGCTGGGTTCAGGCCCGAGGTTTACCCCGGGTTAAAAAAACACAGGCCAGGTATCATGGTGCAAGAGGCCGAGGCAGGAGGATCGCAAGTAATTTAATAACTTTGAAATTCTGTCCTGGGGTATGTGTATGTGTTAAAAATCTCATTACGGAAAATTATCAAGCAGCAAACCCACAGGCCTTCATCAAGTGTTGTCATCACCTCCTGGTTCTTCTGTCCACCGCATCCTCCTCCTCCCTTTTCTTGGAGGAGCGGGGAGCTGGAATATTTAAAATTAAACTCCAGACATACTCATCTCTATGCACTTCATGGTGCTTCTGAAAAATGGTCATTTCACCCTGAATTACCATACCATGGTCACACCTACCAAATGAATGATTGTCTTTTTTTATTTGAGAGTATATGGGGGCCGGGAGGTCAGGGCCTGGAGCTGGCCATTGAAATGAACAGTTGTATAGTGCATCTGATAACCTCTGTATTCAAACCCCACTGCTTGTCTTAAAACACATTATTTATCAGGGGAGAGGCATCATTCCCAGAGGATGCAGCTGAGGCTCAGAGAACGAGGGACCAACCCCAGGGTGCACAGCACAGAAACAGCACCCACAAAAATGGGACAAATGGTTCAAATTGTAGGCGTGGTGGTGCACATTGGTGATCTCAGCACTGGGGAGGCTGAGACAGGAGGATCACCATGAATTCGAGGCCAGTTTGGGCTACATAGTGAGACCCTGTCTCAAAACAGCAACAACAACAATAGAAACAATTGTACAGATTGTAAACTAGGGTCAGGGATTTGGCTCAGTGTTTCTGCCGCCTGTCACAAATGCAAGGACCCAAGTTTGATCCCTGGTACACACAAACTGTAAAGTAATCTGCAAAGGGCTGTGCCCTCCAGCCTGGAGCCTGCTCACTCCCAGCCTCCCTGAGCACTTGCCAGAATCCTACTCCTTGCTGCTGAGAGTCTGCTGCTCCAATGTCCTCTTGAGGGCCCCAGACAGGGCAGCTGCACCTGGGGCCCCTGAGGACATTACCTGGCATGCGTGGAGGCGGGCACCCCCAGGCGGCCCTTCAGGATGTGCAGCTGCCCAAGCGCCCTGCTGTGGCTGTGTTGCTCTGGGAAGCCATGCGGTCCCAGCAGCTGCAGCTCCTGCTCCAAGTGCTCCAGCTGGCGGTGGAGGCACTGCCTGTGGGTGTCGTCCTCCCAAAGGGCCCTGGAGGCCAGCTCAAGCTCAGGGCGTGGTGTCCACTCTGAGGGCCAAGGGGAGAGTGATCAGCCGGTGCCCAGTCATGGTGAAGGCAAAGGCACCAGTGGTCACGCAGCAGCCTCCAGCTCAGTGCTGGTGTGGGAAACCTGAGTACTGAGGGACTGGGCCCTCGGGTGACAAAACCAGTAGGATTTGAATGTTGTTCTTTTAGACTTTTGTGAGGGACATTTTCCAAACATCCTCATACACAAAGAGAGGAGAATATCATCTCCATCACTGTACTACCCGGATGATCACCTTCCAGCCAGTCTCACCTCATCTTCCCCCCAACCTGTTACCCTGTAGTGTGTGTGTGTGTGTGTGTGTGTGTGTGTGTGTGTGTGTGTGTGTGTGTGTCTTAATTGCTCTTCTCATTGCTGAGACAAAACACCTGACACCCAAAATTAGAGAGGCAAGGCTTATTTGGCTAACAGTTTGTGGAGGGTTCAGTCCATAACTGGCTGGTTCCAAGACAAGGTGGCTTGGAAGAGGGGCATCGTGGAGGAGAAACAGTTCATGGTGGGCAGAAGGCAGCAAAGCAGCAATAGAGCCACAGCCATTTCTGTCCCTTATATCTCATCCAGGCTATTTAGGGCTAAACCCAGTGCCTTTGATCCTAGCTGCACCATGAATTAATCCCAGCATCCCACACACTCTAGATCTGAAAAAGCCCAACCTATGACTGCATGAGGCTTTGGGGAACATCTAGGCATAAGCCATAATGTCTGTGTGTGTGTGTGTGTGTGTGTGTGTGTGTGTGCGTATTTATTTATTTTTGGTACCAGGGATTGAACTCCCCTTTCACTTAGCAAGGGAGGCAGTGGAACCACTGAGCTAAATCTCTGGCCCTTTATTTGGTTTTCTGAGGCAGGGTCTCACTATGTAGTTTGGGTTGGCATTGAACTCACTATAATCCAGTCTGGCCTCCCAAGTGCTAGGATGACAGGTGTCCACCACCATGCCCAGTTTAAAAACAATTTTTGAGGGGTCTCATTATGTAGTCCATACTGGCCTTGAATTCCCTGTAGCTCAGGATGGTTTTGAACTTGCAAGCCTCCTGCCTCAGCCTCTGAAATCATGTTTTTGTTTGTTTAAAATGACAGAAGTAACACAACTATAATGTAAGGGAAAAAATTCAAACCTCTCTACTATTTTGTGTGTGTGTGTGTGGTCCTGGGTATCAATCTCAGGACTTTTTGCTTGCAAAGTAGGTGCAGCACCACTGAGCTAAATCCCTGGCCCAAAACCTTTCTACTCTTCCTTGTGACTTTAAAGCGAATGTGGTTCAGGACCAGGGATTTAGCTCAGTGGTGCCATGCCTGCCTCATAAGTCCAAGGTCCTGAGTTCAATCCCTGGTATCACAAGAAAGAAAAAAAGAGAGAGAATGTGGCAGCTCATGTGCTGGCGCCCAGGGAGCGGCACACTGTCTATGCCAGGAAGGGCTCATCTTCCCTGGCGTGTGTGTGACTGACACAGGAGATGGCCAAACACAGCAGACCCCAGGGAGAGAAAGGGGCGTCCCATGCAGCTCTGGGGGTGTGCACGCCTCAGCTAGAGGCCAGCGCCAGCACCTTCTGTATCACAAGCCTCTCAAAGTGTCAGAAGACACTATCTCTGCCCATCCTGATGCCACCAGCTGAATATGATTTGATTTTTCTTTTTTTTTTCTTTCTTTTTTTTTTTTTTTGGTACTGGGGATCAAACTCAGGACATTGCACTTGCGAGGCAGGTGGTGGCACCACGGAGCTAAATCCCCAGCCCCCTGCTTTATGGGGGTGGGGGTGTGTCTGAGCCCTTCAAGCTGCACACTCACCCAGTCCTCACATCCAAGCAGGGCCGCTCGGTAGCTCTACTTCACAGAAGAGGAGACTAAGTCTCAGGGAGGTTGAGCAACTTTCCCCAAATTGCACGGCTATGATTCCAGCCAGGTGAACCCAGGAGTGTTCTGAGGTTGTGGTCCACGGCCAGCACATCTGGCTGGGAAAGCCACAACCTGGGTGAGCAGAGCCCTGCAGTGACCTTCACAGGCAGCCCGTCCAGGCACTGGCTCTAGACGGTGAGCCTCTGGAGTGGTACCACTGGCGGCGCTGGAAGCCCAGCCCAGCAGGCCTGAGGCTGCAGGGTGAGTCCATCACTGCTCTGAACACTGGCCTCTGGATCTGTGTAGCACTACAGTTTGGACCTAAAATGTCCCCAAAGGGTTAAGGGCTTGGTCACCAGCCTGTGGTGCTACTGGTTTGGTTTGGTTTTGTTCTGAGACAGGGCCTCACTCTGCAGTTTAGGCTGGCCTTGAACTCAGGGTGATCCTCCCTCTCAGCCTCCCCAAGTGGTAGGATTACAGGTGTGCACCACCACACCTAGCTTTTATTGTGTTTTGGTTCTTTATTGTTGTTGTTATTTTGTTGTTGTTTGGTGCCAGGGATTGGACTCAGGACCTTGTGCTTGTGAGGCAGGCAGCGGCACCACTAAGCTAAATCCCAGGTCCCAACACCTAGCTTTTGATTTGGAGACTTGACAGAGAAGAGAGAAAAGAACATTTGCATTCTGCGTCTTTCCTCTGCCTCATCACCCTGTATCTGTGTGCTGCCCCACACCCCTGGAAACAGATCCTGACAGTTTCCAGGAAGAGGAACCGAGGCTCAAGGCTCACAGCCAAGACAACCCGTGCAGGGTCACAGGAGTGGCCACAGGAGCCCATCCCCAGAGGCCCGGGATGCAGCACAGCCCCACTGAGGAGCTCAGATGGGAGACTTTAAACCCCCTTCCTTATGTTCGTGATGTGGCCAGGTGCGGGGCAAACGCGGGAGCAGCGGAGGGGACAAAAGGGCCGGAATAGGAGTGAGGCTTAGAGGAGGGGCGAGCAGACGCTAGTGCGGCTGTGCGCAGCTCAGGCCCCCGCCCGCCCGCCAGGGACGCGACGCCTGGCCCCAGAAGCCGCCGCTCTTGG